TATGGGTTTACTCGAGGTGACTGTATATTTACAATTTCGCATCTTTTATGAATACGCCGACAATAATAATAATTACTTTACGCTCCTATAAATATATTCCCACTATTAAGAAAAATGACACCACAAAGAGGTCAACCGAGTTCTCGACCTCCTCGAATGTGCAATAAAAATCATAAAAATCCGATATCTTCCACAAAGAGGATAATTACTTTTAATGTTGTCATAAATTGCCGCGACTTTTCCCGTTCTTTTCACACAAGGCAAACATCTTCTCCCATTTTCCTCCCGTTCCATCTCGATTTTAATCGGCGATTTATTTCCCTCCCAACAACAGCTCGAGTAAAAACGCCAACTCCAATTTTTCCCTCTCGGGGCTGGTCAATCAACCCTCATAAATCGCGCAAGATGACGTCTTCGTTGACGGAAAAGCGTGCGTTTCCACGCGTCCAAGTGATTTTTTTACGAGGCCCCATATTGGCCAATAATTGACAGGTCAGCATGCAATATCAGCGTTTTTATTGCATTTATTTATAGCGCACCATAAACCGAAACGCGGCATAACCTGATGGCAGGGAGATAAAAAAGAAATGTTTTCCCTTGAACCGAAAACAAGACGCTAAAATGCGCCAGGAAATAAATAAGGACATTGTAGCAAAGTGAGAAAGATTTTATGGGTTGCAGAAATTTCCTCTATGGACAGTGGCAAGCTGCAGGAAAACGCGACAGTTTTATTATATACTCAACACCCAGTGTCGAACCAGCGTAAGCAAAGTCGGTGATTTAAAGAAAATACACCAGTAGGTGTCGATTGTGCTAAAAATGTCTCCCAACGAAAATACCTCGGTGATGTTTCCCTCTTTCGCAATTTCTCTTGTTTATCCCGCTCGGAAAAAATATCGCCTCGATTAATACGTTTTAAGCGAATTGAGTTGTTTAGTGTCAACTTGGAATGAACGGCGCTGATGGTCTCATTCTGTTTGAGAGATGTAGCAGACGTTGATGACGCTGCCTGCTGTGGAAGTTTCAAGTTTCAGCGTTTTAAATCTGGCATCAGCTCGGAAAATCTGTTGTGAATGTCTTTAGGTTCGAATTACGCATTACTAAAATTGTTATGACTGGAGAAGCGTCTGAGTTGTCGTCTCGATCGGATTGCAAATGCAGCACGCCGTTTTTGTCGTCCCAGAATGTCGTCTTCTGCTATCTTTATGTGTTTACGTCGCTGTTTTGGTTTATTTTGTCGGTTTCTTGGTATTACAGTTGAAGTGACGTGAAACTGGAGCGACTCGTCTAGCATTGGATAGATATCACGTATTGACTTACGGTGGAGTTGGGTTTCGGAGTTTCGTGTTCAGGGAAATTTCTTGTGGTAGTTAAGAATGTATCGAGTTATGAATGAATATTTTATTATATACTTTGTAGTGGCATGGCTTCTATTTCTGTTTCGTCGGGTGGATAGAGTTTCCGACTTGGTTATTATTTTTGACTGACGATACGTTTCGTCATTGACACCGTTCTGAGATTTACGCTTCCAGCTGTGGAAGTTGATCACGTACTTCGTCAAACCAAATAAAGAAATTAACTAGTCGTCATAATAATAAAATTTCACCAATATAGAAATGGAAAATCACATCATACTACGCACTTTTCAACACTTAATTTAGATACACATTAAAACGCACCAAATAGGTACGTCACCAGGGAAAAAATATTATTTACGTCAATGTTTGTTTGGAAATCCCAATTTTTACAATGCTGTGTTAGGCAATTCAGTCGGGTATCAATATGAGCACTTAAAAATATGTGACATTCAGTGTCTTTGATTTACCGGGAAGTTGTCAACGTGAAGCTTATCTTAAACACGTGTCAACAGACGGCATTTATTTGATTAATTACTGTGATTGATTTTTAAAAACGAAGAAATTGCTCGTAAAACCACGTTTTGATTATTATTGTTCTAAATATAGTTATCCAGAAATATCAAATTGATGTTGCTCATTATTTTGTCGACAACATGCTTCTTAAAAAGTCTTGTGATAGCCACGTGATCTTTGTAAAGTGGATAGTTAGTATAAATGAATATGTATACGTTTAGTCACGTTTGCAGCGTGTGTACTACCAAAAGTGACTTCATCTCACGTGTTGATAAAAACTTAGAAAGAATGATGTATGTAACACCAAGAGAAATATAGTTTTAAGTTGTTAATACAGATAAAACCGCATGATTTAACATTTGAATACGTAAATTTTTTAAACTCAAGGAGGCAGATTTTTACCAAACATAGTTCTCCCTTTTCCGTCTGTTTGTCTGTCTGTCTGCCTGCCGTCTGTCCGGATTTTTATTAGGTTAAAGTACGAAACTACTGAACCGATTGTAGTTAAATTCCATTGGCTTAACGTCGTTTATGGATAAATTAATTCGCGGTAGAAAAGATTCTCGAGATAAATTCGCAAGAAATTCATAGTTTTAAAGATAATGCAAGTTAAAACCTTGGATACAGGTTCTGTAATCCAAAATGTTCAAAACGTGGATATACAACACCTGAACTAGCTGTAAACTTTGTGAACAAGAAAAAATATGTCCCTTTTTCGAGGAATTTTTCGGAACATGTTCTATTGTACAGCACTGAGAATAAAATAATCTTGGCAGGCGTTGGTAGCCTTCGGGAGTCTTCGGAAAGCGTGCGAACTGTTGGCGACGCCTAACGAAGATTCCTAAATGACTGCCGAAACCAGCCGAAGATTCTAAAATCAACCTTGTCTGGCAAATATTTCTAATAGTGGCTACCCAAATGATGGAAATTTTTAATAAACGTCTGGAAAATAGAGACCAATGGCGGTTTTTTTTGCCAAATGTTTTACTTAGTTCATTTATTTATGTAAATTTTGGGAAAATTTTCGCATTGTAGCTTGACGACATCATAATAGAATTTATATCCAAAATTTTAGTTTTCATGATTTTTAAATTACGCGTGAATTTAACAATGAACTTCAGTCGTTTAGAATCAATATATCTATAGGTAATAATATGACAAAAAACAAGGTCAAAATAAGAAAAATTGGCATGGTTTTATAGCGGTATAGTAAATATGTCTCAATACGATAAAAGATATATATCTAGGCCGGTGGGGTATAAATTTGATCACAATCGCTGTATACAATATTAAATATAAACTATTGTTTGTAATGTTTATTGAGAGCGTTAAAATTATGGGGAACATACAATAATGCTAATCAAAATCATTTTTTTTTTTAATAATTGGAAATTTGATTTCAAATTCATATCCTTTGGGGATTGGTTTTTCTTTTTCTTTTTTTTTTCCTAATAAAATATTTTTTACATTATCGTCCAAACCACCCGCGCCTTTTGCCTCCCGTTACTATAATAGAAACCTTACTTTACTGCCCTCTGCATAGCCGCCCTCCCTCTCGGCAATACCATAAACCGTAAATTTTTTTCTCACGGAACGAGAAACCGTCCCCAAATTCGTATAAATCGCCCCCTTGCGCCCCGAAATTTATCGTTTAATCACAGCGGAGTGGTGGCACAATTAAGCAGCCCCCTCGACTAACCCCAATTGACCAATAAAACCTAATGGACTCTCCGAGTGAACGACGTGCAATCTGGAAACGTCACCGTAGAGAGGCCCGATCGGCCATTGTGACGTAACAGGTGTCATTATTGACAGTCTGATAGGACCGTTTTTGGGTTGAACTGCGCCCCAAATCTGCTAAAGGTCGGACGGATGCCGGACGACGAAATAGGTCATCGGGACAATCGATATTTATTTTATTTGGTTGGTACGTGTGTGGAGGAACGTAGATGAGAGGAATTCGATTGATCCGAAAGGTCAATTCGACGCCTACGACAATTAGATTTTGCCTTAAGTGAGGGGGAGATGGGGAGGAAATGCGGTAATTGGAGTGGTGCGTATTATGGATGAGGTTTGTACTTGCGGACGGAGGAGGCGGAACAGAGAAATTTGATAATGCGGAGAAGGGATGCGTAAAAATAGCAGGTTATCGTGGGGTGTAGGTGGAGGGCGCGTTTGGTGGTTTTCTTTGGATATATTTGTTGTTGTGTTATTCGGAATTTTGGTTGCACAAAATAACTTACAACAGTATTTGTGGTTTATGAATCCGTCTTCGAAATTATTTCGATCATTATAGTGTCAATTTATTCTGGTCATGTATAACATAACCTCTAATCAATGTTATGAATGTCCTTACTACGTGTACTACAAATAATAAAATATTCTACTACGATCGCAACGATAGATTGAAAATTACAACCTAGCAAGTGGTTGTAATAAGTATATTTATAGTAAATTGAAGGTATCAGCTGTCAATTCACACACAGTAAGTTTCGTTAGTGATTAAAAACGAACACTTTTTGCGATAAAAACAGGTGTGACGAGATACTAACATGAAATTATTTCTGGTCGATATATATTGCTTGAAATTTTTGCTGCCATTAAAGAACCGATAACAATTCATTATTAAAATAATGAATAATGAAATTATAATGAACACTTCATTAAACTGATGGCAGATTAAATTTTCAGTCATTGACTGTGTAATCAAAGTTGATTGAATTAATAAATGATATGTAGTTGTCATTTAATTACATTTCCAAACCATTTTGTTTATTAACGGTGGCACATTTTGAAAAATAATTGATGAAAGCGTTGTTGTAATGATGCATCCTTGGCACATTTGTAGACGTGTAATTATCAGTATTTTTACGTGCCAACAAATGCTCAACTGTGTACTTTTGCCAATTTAACTTTAACAATCGGTGCTAATTGTTTCCACATGTACGGCTAGATCTTTGTTTTTTCAAGTGTCACCTAATAATCGTGAGTCATGGTAGCTCGTTTTACAACATATGACACTGCTTCCCGCGTTGTGCTGCATTCGCAATGTTTGCTTAAACGCTCGCGTAAATATTTTGCTATTTATGTGTTTAACCTTGTTTACATTGTTTTTCTCGTTTTTTTCAGAGCGCTTTCTCGAGGACCACGAATACGTCCTATCGGCATGCAGGGACATGAGGGGCTATTCCAGACACGCCCAATTTCGATACGTATTCAGAAAAGACTACAGGAAATACGAGTTCTTCCACAATCCACAAGTAAGTGTCGACCGTCCTCACAATCGAGTGTTTTGTTTGCGCGCCTCGTAATTGGGACGCCTCAGGTTGATAAATGTAAATATGGGAGAATTACAAGAATTTTTCGGCTATTTTAGGTGTTGATTTACCGTTATGTGCAAATAAATTCTTATCTTGTTTTAGCGATGTTTATTTGGAGCGGATTTCGGTGCGAAGGGATCCCGGTCGTTTTGAAATTTTGGTTTCGTGCAAACAGAGGTTCGCGTTTTGAAACGATTTTCGGTAAATATTATGAACGGATTTGTACCGAAGGTTCGGCCGATAAGTGAGAGGCGCCGTCTCTGTGCTCAAAGACGATTAAAAATATTTGTTCGGTTTGCGTTAAAATAATGTTGATTGATGTAAATATTATGTTTTTAACTGGACGTATAAATACTTTAATTGGCGGTTGTAAATATAAATCACCGACGATTTGTTTAAATAATGTGGGACAAAGTAAGCAACGTTTATTTTGTTTTTATTTATTTTTAATCGTAAATTATCAAAATTGCGCGCCGAATTTATGTGTTTTTTTGCATAAAATTCTCGTTACGGTATGAGTTTGGATAAACAGAAATTAATAAATTGATTCAAAGTACAATGTTTGTTGAGCGAACTCTAAACTTGTCACTCTGCAGATAAGAAATGCACGTTTTCTTTGAAAATTTGCGCATTTTTAGTTAAATATATTCATAATAAATAACAGTTGCAATTTCACTCTTGTTAAATTTTAATTAATTCAGAATAAACAAAGAGAAAATTTTGCTTTCTTGTGTACCTGCCTGACATGTGTTGCAAATTTTTTTTTATGGTTTTTTTAGTAACTTACTTATGAATATATACTATAAATGATAATATAAAGTATATATCTCGTAACGGTAAATGACAAGGATGCACATAAAGTGTTATTTTACAATTGTTATCGTTTTTTATGAAGAGATAAAGACAATTTTCAAATATATAATTTTTTCGTGGTGCATAATATGAATAAAGAGCGACCGAAATATGTAAACAAGTGAATTTTTTTGCATTTTTTTTTTAATGATAGATGGTATACAAACCGCAACTCATTAAAAATAATTGCATGCGTGATAACCTTTAATGCAGCACATGTCGAGATTTTGTGCCGCACTTTGGTTACGTAAAACTCTGCATTTTTCAAGAAACAAAGATTTTACAGTATAATGCGAAGTTTCAAAATGTATTGTTAATTACGTTATCTTGGAAAAATGTAAGTTTGAAAATTAAATTTTCATGAGAAGATTATAGTTCGTATAGTACTGCGGAGAAAGTACAAATATACCATATTTCATTTCGTACATCTTCGATTTCATTTCGCACATTTTCTTTTTCATTTTGCACATCTCATTTTTCATTTTGCACATCTCATTTTCTATTTAGCACATCTTATTTCTGACATCCTAATTTCATTTCGCATACACTTCGTTTCCCGCATCGCATTTCTCATTTCACATATCTCATATTTCATGTCCTACACCTCATTTCTCATTTCGCACATCTCACATTTTTTCATTTTATTTTGTTTTTTACTGACAGATGGTATGCAAACCATAACTCATTAAATATAATTGCATACCTAAATTGGTTACGTAAAACGCTGCATTTTTTAAGAATAATAAAGATTTATCTGCATACTGCGAAATATGTATATTGTCAATTACGTTATCGTGGAAAAATGTAAGTTTTAAAATTTTTCATGAGAAGAAAATCATGAAAAAATAATATCGTGATTCAGTCAAGAATAAGTACTAATAGACAATTAAATGTCCACCAAAAAAAAAAAAAAACATAAAATTTAACTTCAATGTGTTTATCATTTGAGAACAAAATAGTGTTTTGTTTTATTCACCTTAATATCGTCTGACACACTGACATCATTGTTAACACGTTTGTTTGCGTTTTGAATAATACACAAATCGGCGTGAAGTAGCTAATTAGAAATTCAAGAATGTCAAAAAATACTACCTTTAGCGGTAGAATTAAACACCTAACCTAAAACGTAGTGACTCATTTAGTCAAAAATTGTCGTCCAGTATTTGTGTGGAAAGAATTGTATCAAGATAATTACTGATTTTGCTCTCAAACGACCGGAACATTTATTTCATCACAAATCCGGTCCAGAAAAGCGATAGTTTTGACAGCAATTTTTCGCGATTATGACCCTAACCAAAAAATACCTGGAATCGAAAATCGCATTGGGTGGTAGGCTGCGGCAAAAAGTAGGCGCGAATTCCATTCATGCACTCTAGTGGCGGTTTGTCGAACATTTTCGTTGTGTTTGACGAATAAACAAACTCAAAATAAAAAAGTTGATTTGTTTTCATTAATCTTCGGATTTATCCGAAACATCGAAACCTTCATTATTTCGGTTATAATTTTTGTCAGAAGTTTAAATCTATGCACATTTGATATTGTTGTGATAATCGTAGCAAACGGGTTGGTAGGTATGCAACACAGAATACACCAGCGCCGTCAAGAAAACTAGTTGAAGCCGTAGACTGTGGCGCCACCTTTTCGAAAATTCAGTTTACTATTGGGTTGGAGTCTCCGGTAGTTCGAGAGCGCTGCGGTCGGGCTCGTTGAAGTTTCGCCACCGTCTATATGAGGGCGCCACGCCTCCTGAAACCATTTTCGTCTCCATTGAACGATTTTTATCAATGAACTTCCACCTTCATTTTAATTAGAGCCATTTCCGAGCTATTTCCAACGTATTTAAAAGCAACGTGAAAACATTTTCAATGTAAAAGCAATTAAGGAAATATGCGAAGGTATTTTAATGAGGCGCGGAAAACACAGCTACGCTAAACTGCAATTTTGATAAATTACAATACACATTTTTCATTATTCATTTTTTATGTTAATTGTGTAGTAATAAATAGCCCGCACACGTCCTTCGTATGTACGGTATCGAATTCTTCACTGAAAATTCCTCGCATTTATCATACTTTTTTCTACATAGCCTTTGAATTATTAGTTTCCAGAATTTCCAGTTGTGTGCTTCGAATTAATAAATTCCGGCAGCGGAAAACTACGTTTTCTGCGAACGTTTTTGTAATGGGATCATACAGTAAATGGCAGGTTTAATTTCGTTATTGTTAAGATGAATAATGTTGCACGGACACGAAACGTCGGCCCGGTAATTAATTTGAAAAATTCGTTCTCAATATCGGTTTGATATGTATATTAGGTAGGATCTGACAACGGGACGCCGTAAATAACGATTTATTATTGCATTTCATGGCTCCCGACTCACTATTATGTTTATATGATTATGATAATTTACGACGGGATCTGTTCTAATCACATGTCTCACATTTGTTTTTTTCTCTCAGCAGTTCTTCCCCTCCGACATGCTAAACATCACCAAGGAGGACTTGCCGCATCTCACGAGCCTCAACGAAACATACCTCCAGGTAAGGTTTCGGTTTCCGCTAGAGGCACCTTCGGGGTTTGATAGGTTATTACGGACGCCACCAGAGGTCTCGGCGTGACATCGTCGCGATGGGCATTATCGCCAATAATACTTGTCGATGGTTGTGACATGATGCAAAATAAGTAATAAATACCGTGCGGTCGCAAATAAATTGAGTTAAAGTAGGCTAGGGAAATATTGCAGGAGAAATCTGATAACACGGCTTCATGCACTCCAAGCCACCATACTCATCGCATCTGAAATATTAGAAAACGTGCTTTGAGATTTCAGAGTTAACATTTTTCACGATTTAGAGACCCACGCCCATCCCACAACCGTCAGAACGTGTAAGATACCACAAATCGTCTCTTTTTCGTAATCTGAGATGATTTGGATACACGTGAGTGTATCTGGTAAATCTAAAAGGCTCAGAATTGGCTGTAAATTTTTGCTGTCGAAATTCGACGGGAATAATGGATTTATTGTGCGGATTTGAACGGTCTTGGTGCGTTCGTGGCCCTAGGCCACTTGGAATGATAGAAATCGCGTTTTTTGAGGTGTTACAACCCACATCAAAATTAATATTCGTCAAAACGTGGAAATCGACACCAGTGGTCTTCCTTTCGGAACTTGAGACGTTCAGGTACACTCGAATGGGTCCGGTAGGCACAGAATTCTGATTTCAAAAAACTCTTTTCCATGGTTTTCATTAGATAGTAGCCATCAGTTTAATTAGACTGAGTGGCTAGAGACGCTGTCACTGCGTTGCTTTTACGTTGTGTAAGTTTTTTTTGCCCTACCGAATTAAGCATATTCGGCTGTTGCATTTTTCCACGAACATAAATTAAAATTTGCATCTGTTGTCTATGGCCGGCAAAACGATGACAACCGCACAGAACATAAATTACTCCATTGCATGTAGTTGTTGCCAAGTTGTAAAAAACGTTAGGTCAGTGACAGGACGCGTGACGAGAAAGTGGAGTTTCCACGAATCGGCATCGGTACAGTAATTGTGTTAAACCGGTGCTTTTTTGAGTATCTTTGGGAGAAATTGCCCCGTAACCTTTTCACAGGATGATTTCGTAATGCAGACCCGGGGTCATCAATCATCTCAATTATTAACATCGCTGGAGAAAATGATCCTTGTTAAAATTAATTACGAGGTTGTGTTTGAATGTTACATTGTTTCGGCACAGGAGAGATGAGAAAAAATGAGTTTTTTTGGACGACTCGGATTCCCTCGGGCGTTTCAATTACGAGATCGCGTAAATATTTGCTGAAGTTGCCGGTACTTTTATGAAAAATCCATTAAAATGGTGTACGTTCAGGAACTTATTGTTTAATTGTTGACTGTCGTAGTTGCGGGTGTTGGGTTAATTTGAATGGGTTGGTTTAATGTTTTCTCGATTTGAATGGTTAGGGTTTTGACAACCGTTGGTGATTGATGGCGTGCAAATAATGGTAAATTATAACGTCAAAGTTTTGCTTTTTTAATAGGCAATTATAAAAAAGTCGTTTCGATTTGTTACACTGCCTTGCAAGAAATTTACGAATTTTTACGCGAGCTCAAAATAATCGGGCCGGAGAATGCTGAGTGAAATCGACCTGATACGTATTGCGAACGGGTTAACGGTGTATTTGAGGTTTATCAAAATTGTAAAATATAAATAATATAACCGGTTAATATAACTGGTGATTAATGAAAGTACGCGATTGACTTTATTGGAGAAGAAGTCACCTGAATGTTGCATTCCAGCATTGTCATATTTTGTTAATAACAATTTTCCCGTCATACTGTGCAAGAGTAGTAATTATCGCATTCCGTACCTGTTCTTATCGTTTCATTGCACTTACCTTGTTTATCGCAATTTCTTTAAGTTCCAATGTCACCTAACACTTATACACATTATTTGATATAGGTCAGTGTATTATATTTTTTGCTTTTTCCTCTAACGCTTCTAGAATAAGGAAAAATAGGTCTCCCATTCTGCCGTCTGTTAACGATTTTATTACATTGATAATTTAATCTGCGAAACTATTGTAAAATTCTAGAGGTGCGTAGTAAAATGCTAGCAAAATTTTATCATTCCATCACAAATTTGATGACGTCGTCTAAAAATTTTGTGAGATAAAGTGTAGTAATTTTAGAAGTGTCATCACTTTCGTTGTTTCCGTAATTTTTTTCAAAAATCTCATGCTCATCCAGAGGCGGATGGGACCTGTTGTACAATCGCACGCAAATGTTTTGAGCCTATGGGCGGATCATTTTTGCCTGCCCTCACCGAAGAAGGCGGTCCAAATCCTTCAAGGGCAGAATTTGTAGGTAGGCTCAAACTACAACGAAATTTACATTTGGTAAGAAGTATTTGTGGCTCACACCAGTTCTCTCAAATTTGTCGGAGAAGATTTAGCAGGTAGTTGTTCCCATGAAATAATGGTCACTTTCGTTCGTGAGTAACCATGGTCCGGACAGGAATTATTTTGCTTTCTTACATCTTTCGACTAATTGTTCCGTATAAAAAATTTCATCACTTTTTCAAATAAAATACTCTTAAATGTTCATAATAAATAAATAAAAAAAACGATATTGTCGTTGAGTGACATGCAACTGGCATAATAATAAAAACGTGCCATTTTTGTTAACTGATATTTTTTTCATAAATGTCGCAAAATTATTAAATTTGTCTAATCATCCCCACCAATAATGTGATGACGTCACTTCAAATTTATGCATAGTAAATGGGTTTTAAATTGTATACAGTAACATAGTCCTACACATGTAGTTTATGACTCCGTGTTGAGTTTTTATCCGAAACGTCCATATTTTTGGAAAAAAAATCAAAATTATAAAACAATATTTTGCAATTTAATTTTGAATTTGCAAAATCGAATAATTTGAAATCTTGCAGATGTTTTAAAGTCAAGATAAATATGATACATTTTTAATTAAAATTTGCTTATCCCCTCTAAAAAATTTATGACGTCACCTCAAAATTTTGCAGAATAAATCCTATCTTAAATGTATAAAATATGATGAGTTTTTATACTTGTGATTTATCATTGTATTAATATTTTTTAGATTTAGTTATACAGGGTGTCTCAAAAATGTTAATGACTGAGTCAATTTATTTTATTGAAGAAATCAAGAATAGCAAAACTGAATACTTTGAAATATTGTAGATGTTTTGAAGTTTTTGTAAGCATGGTTACTTTTTAATTAAAACGTTGTGGGTATCGTTGGTGAATTTGAGAAATAGCGACGGTTACGGTTTTCAGATCTTTTTATTTGATGGTTACAGTTTGAGAGCTCGAGGGAGAAGTTTTTTTAGAAGGGTGTTTGAATGGTCTACAGATAATTTCGGTTTTGGAGAGGTGGAAGCGGGTAAAGAAAGAGTTTAGAAAATTCTAGAAATTGGAAGAGAAAATATTGTGGGAACGGTTGTTCCCCCAAATATGAATGCAATAATAAATTACAAGTAAAAACTTATCATAATTTGCACATTTTAGGTAGAATTTATTAGGCAAAATTTTGAAATGACGTCAAAAATTTTTCGGGGTTGATAACCGATACATTTTGATTAAAAAGTTACCATGCTTACAATAACTTCAAAATGTCTGCAGGATTTCAAAGCATTTGGTTTTGCAGATTTTATTGATTTAATCAATACAATAAATTGACTTAGTCATTAAATTTTTGAGACAGCCTGTATAAGTAAATCTAAAATATTGCTGCAATGATAAATCACAGGTATAGACTGTGATTTATCATCAATTTTGCGATGACGTCATGCATTTTTTGGCGAAGATAAGCAAATACATTTTAATCGTGGCTTTGAAGGTATTCTTCGACTTTCGTTCCATTTCAAAATTTACTCTTTGTATATTTCAGTGGTCACAACGAGTTCACTAACTACGCTGAAGTATGCGAAGATTAAATTTGTCACCGAAAAGATGTCGGAAGTAATAAATTATCCTATCGGTCGAAGAACGTTCGGTCCGGTGTTATACCTCGACCCAAGAGAGACCGCAGTAAAGGATAACAAATGGAACGGATAAAATAAAGCGTCAAACATGATTGATAAACTTTAAACCAAAATTATGAAGTTTATAAACTGAAATTTTTTTTTGTTTTTTGAAATGTAGTACTCTTCAAAAAATAACCGTGACTTATTTTAATGTGAATTTTATAACTGTGGTCGGCACAATTAGACCTAATATTAGTGTGATTTTGGGCATATTCTCGATTTTATTTGAGGAGAACAGGTTTTTTTTTCTAATTTTATAAGTTACGGAAACTAATAGCACATCACAGATATTGCAAAAAAAAAGGGGGCTCAGGTTCCAACTAATTGACAAGATTTCAAAGTATTCAGTTTTGCAATTCTTGATTTCTTCAATAAAATAAATTGACTCAGTAATTTTTTTTTTGAGTCACCTTGCATGTATAAACAAATCCAAAAAATATAAATGGAATGGTAAATCACAAGTATAGACTCATTATTTTCTGAACACTTTAGATAGGGTATTTATAAAATTAAAACTAATTCAGAGTAAAAATTTGGTCAACACGTAAATTTCCTTGTCGTTTGAGCCTACCTACAAATTCTGCCCTTGGACGATTTGGACCGCCTCCTTCAGTGACGACGGGCAAAAATGATCCGCCCATAGGCTCAAAACATTTGCGTGCGAAAAATTTAGACCGGCACCTGAAAGGCCGAAATTATACTTCATTTAAAAGTTTATAAAATTTGGCCTCGAGCACCGTGATGTACAATCGCACGCAAATGTTTTGAGCCTATGGGCGGATCATTTTTGCCCGTCGTCACTGAAGAAGGCGGTCCAAATCGTCCAAGGGCAGAATTTGTAGGTAGGCTCAAACGACAAGGAAATTTACGTGTTGACCAAATTTTTACTCTGAATTAGTTTTAATTTTATAAATACTGTTCGGTATTCGCGAACTTATGTAGTTTAAACTTAAAAGTCCCCATATCGGTTTGGACC